AAATGTCTGCTGCTTCTCCCTCAGCCTCTCAACATCCAGCAAAGAGCTCTGCTTCTTTGCCTTCAACTTATCTGCTCCACCAGGATCAATTTCCTCCTTTGGCTTCAAGCAAAGGATTCTTGAGGCAAATTACTGAATAATTGTCCAATAGTTGTCCTGAAGAGCTGTGCAGCCCCAGCAGCACATCCTGTCCTCCTGAGTGGCCGTGCCTTTGGGCTCAGGTTGAGGATTATCTTGTGCTGCTGCCTCTGCAGACTTCTAGTCCTGCTTTTAACTTCTGTGCTTTCTAAAGCATCCCTGTGGAACTGCAGACTGGGATTGTTCAGGAGGTGATATCTCCTGCTCATAGCACACTGGACTCCAGTGGTGATTGTCCTGGGAAAAAAGATGTCTAGTTAGTGAAAAAGTTAAAAGCTGTCCAGTTAATTTCTGTGCTTTCTCTGTAAGGCATCCCTCGGGAACTGCAGACTGGGATTTTTCAGGAGGTGAAATCTTTCTCCTGCTCATCATATACCCACTCCAGTGGTGATTGTCCTGGGAAAAAAGATGTCTAGTTAGTGAAAAAGTTAAAAGCTGTCCAGTTAATTTCTGTGCTTTCTCTGTAAGGCATCCCTCGGGAACTGCAGACTGGGATTTTTCAGGAGGTGAAATCTCCCTCCTGCTTGTAGCACACTGCACTCCAGTGGTGGTTGAACTGGGAAAAAAAGATGTCCAGTAGGGTGGGATGAGCTTTGAAATGCTGATCATTCATAAGAAATCATTCCTTGAAAGCCTGGATGTGCTATGAAGGAGAGGAGGAGACTGAAGTCAATATCCAGGTCAAATCCCAGCCCGGGTGGTGGCAGCTCCCATGCCTAACTGTCCTCCTGCTCTTTCAGTCACATTGTCATTGTTCCAAACTTCTGGCAGGGATTCCCCAAACCTGGCTGTCAGGCAGAGCTGCAAAGGCTGGCAGGCAGACAAGGGTTAAAGATGAGAACTGGAAAACCAGGGATGAGCTCTCCTGCACCCAAAGTGTCCCAGGCAAGGCCCTCACAGGTTCAGCCTCACATCTGCAGCTCCTCCAAGGCTGTGGGGACTGCATGACAGGAGGCTGTAAAAAAAGCAGAGAGCAGCCAGACACTATTATTTATCCATTCACTGTCTAAACTTATTTCAGGATCAAAAGGAGCTGATTGACATGAGAGCAGGAGGCAGAGCTCATGGAAACCTCCTGGTCCCAGGGGAACCTGCTGCAGCTGCTCTCTGGGGCAGGGCTGTAGCAAACGCCTTTCTCTCCTTGTCACTCATGGCATTCCCTTCTTTTAGCAGATATTACATTTCTCAGGTATTTTATTTCTCAGGTACTATATTTTTCAGATACAATATTTTTCAGGTATTATATTTTTCAGATATTTTTCAGGTATGATATTTTTCAAGTATTTTATTTCTCAGGTATATTTTTCAGGTAGGATATTTTACAGGTATTTTTTCAGGTATTTTATTTGTCAGGTATTATATTTTTCAGATATTTTATTTTACAGGTATTTTATTTCTCAGGGATTATATTTTTCAGGTATTATATTTTTTAGCTATGATATTTTACAGGTATTTTATTTCTCAGGTATTATATCTTTCAGATATTATATTTTACAGGTATTTTTCAGATATTTTATTTCTCAGGTATTATATTTTTCAGATATTATATTTTTCACATATTATATTTTCTAGGTATTCTATTTTTCAGATATCATATTTTTCAGGCATTTTATTTCTCAGGTATTATATTTTTCAGATATTATATTTTTCACATATTATATTTTCTAGGTATTCTATTTTTCAGATATCATATTTTTCAGGCATTTTATTTCTCAGGGATTATATTTTTCAGATATTTCATTTTTCAGGTATTTTATTTCTCAGATATTATATTTTCCAGGTATTCTATTTTTCAGATATCATATTTTTCAGGCATTTTATTTCTCAGGGATTATATTTTTCAGATATTTCATTTTTCAGGTATTTTGTTTGTCAGGTATCTTATTTCTCAGGTATTCTATTCTGCATAAGTGATCTTTTGCAGATGTGTACTTTCATGCAGCACTGCTATTCCTGCAAGTGATCCTCTGTCAGTGCTGCAGCTCTGGGGCTGCTGTAGAGGAAAAGGGGGAAAAAAAAAGACCAGGGCAGAGACAGAGTAGCAAGACCTCAGCAGGGACTCAGCAGAGACTGCAGAGACATAGCAGCGTGCTTGGTGCTGGAATATTTAATGTCAATCATCCTAGGAGCTGATGATTGATAAAATGGCATCAATCTCGAGGAACTGGAACTTTCTCCCTGTTTTATTTCCTTCTCTCTCAGAGCTGCCAGCATGCAAAGACTCCTTGCTCTGTTCTCCAGTCCTTCCCTTGCTCTCAGCAGGCCCTGGGAATTTTAGAGGCACTAAGGGGGACACAGCTTTTGGGAAATGCTGCTGTGTCCCAGATTTCAGGAAGGGGAGCACCCCTACAGCACCCTCACCTTCCCCATATTTATCCACCCACGGGGATGCTCAAAGGGTGATCCTGGCAGGTGCCCTGCTCCTTTGGCATGCTGCTCTGGGGCTGATGCCACAATATTGCCCCAGAGCCACAATTTGCAGTGTTACTTGGATGAGAGGCCTGGTTTTTGTCTACCCTAGCAGTGCAAAGCCCTGATCTCCTCCTGAAATTGCCTGAAGGAAGAAGTGTCAGGACGAGCTGGAATAATGCAGCTATTTCTGGGGCTGACAGCAGGAGGGAGCATGGCTGAGATGGGATGGATCCATTTTTATGCTGATAGCAGACTGCTGATGGAGCAGTCAGTGCAAAAAAAAAAAACCACAAATGAAGGAGCTTTGAGGAAGGCAGAGAAGGGATGTTTAGCCTGTTCTTTGGGCTGGTCTGGCCTAATATATATTTTCCTTTTCCCTCTGAGGATCCGGGCAGTCAGAAATCTCATCTGACTGACACACAGACAGAAATAGGATTTTTTGTTTCTGTTCAATACCCAGGGCCACTGCTTAGGGCTTGAGGTTTCAGAGGGAGCTGAAAAATATCTAAGTTTTTACCAGAAACAAGGGGAGCAGGAAGAAGTTTAGGACATGCAAGGGAGATGCAGGGCAGTGTTACATTTCTATAGATCTCTAACACACATAGCATATAGATATATCTATATATATATATATAGCATATAGAGAGAATATAAATAGCATATCTATTATATCTAGCATATAGTTAGCATATACAGCATATAGAGCATATAGAAGGAACTGTCTGAATGGCCTGCTTGAGAAAATGTTGGGATTTTCCACAGGGATCTGAACAAGCTTGAGAAATGAGCCCATGGAAAACTCGTGAGGTTTAACAAGTGCAAGGTGCTGCACATGGATTACCCCAGCATCAGTCCCGGCTGGGGGATGAACAGATCAAGAGCAGCCCTGCCCAGAAGGATTTGAGGATGGTGGTGGATGAGAGGCTGGACATGCCTTGTCCTTGCTCCCTTCATCCTTCTGAGGAGTCTGACCTCACCAGGCTCGTCCCCAGTTTCAGCAGTATTTTTAGACAGTTGCTTGGAAGTAGCCAAGAGCTTTCCAGTCATGAGCTACAAAAACCTGGATGCTATTGCAAAAGACCAGGAAGAGTTAGAAGCACATTACTGGAAAAAAAAATAAAAGGAAAAAAAAAAGAAAAAGAAAAAAAGAGAAGCTAACTTTATACTTTATCCTGATGAGAAAGGGGATGTGTGAAGCCTTCAGCAAAAAAAAAAGAAAAAGAAAAAAAGAGAAACTAACTTTATCCTGACGAGAAAGGGGATGTGTGAAGCCTTCAGCTGCATCGATTCCCCTGGTGCCATTCAGGGAAAGGAAATAAAAAACAATGGCTGTGTCCATAAATAGGCCCAGGCAGGGGTTTAACACAGATTGCCTAATAAATCTTTCTATATTTCTAATCTGCCCCGGCTGACTCAGATTGCATTACTGAAATGTCACAATTGCTGAGCATTAGCAAGTGATAAGCACACTTTTACCACTGACTAGACAAGCCGTAATTAGGCCAAGTCCTTTCCCTCTCCCCTTTACTGGAGCTGTAACAGACTCTCTGAGAGCTTTCCTCTGTTTAAATAAGAACTAAAAATGGCACAAGGCAATAAAGCAAAATGACAGAAAACATAGGAGACAAGTCCACATCAGCCATGTTTTATTGAAGGTTGTTCTTAGTGGAAGATAGGGCCTTATAAAGTGTGGCATTAACACGAGTTGAACCTTGATAATTCCATGAGTAACTTTCCAAAGGGTGGGTGTCTCAGTCCCAATGAAAGTCTTGCCACCTTAGCAAAGAAAAACACTTTTTTAGAGTTACATTAAGTGATGTTTGGCTTTGTGGCAGCTCACAGGAGTCTGGCTCATCAGTGGTGTGTTATGGATGCATCTCGGGATGGCAGAGCTTGGGAGAAATATCAAATTTTCTTTGGTAGGCTGGGGTGGGTGGAAGGGTGTCTGAGAATGGAACAGTTCCCTGCCTTCTCTTGATGCCTCAGGTTTTAGCTTTTTAAATTTTTTCAGATTCTGTGCTGCTTTGGTGTGTGGGTCTGAGCTTCATATGAGGGGATGGTGAGCTCTTTGCACAGAGTAGGCAGACAAAACAATTCCTTCTCTAGCTGGAGACCAAGGAAAAATGATCCAAATCTCAGGTGCACGAGCACAAACAACGTGGGCTGAAGAGAGAAAAACAAGAAGGATGGGACTTGATGGGCTGGAGCTGTAATTGGACAATTAACTCCAACATGCAAATGTACCAAAACATAAAAATGTGAAATGTTGTGACCAAACCCTCTTTTGCTTCCATCTTGGAGCCACCCGGGCAGAGCCACGACTGCACTACTGCCGGGGTGTGGCCCTTGAAGGCTCTTCAACAAACATCCCCTTTATTCCTCTTACCTCTGCCTGGCCTCTGCTGCAGCCCCTCAAGCCTCACTGTCTCCTCCCTGTGTGTCTCTGGCAGACGGGCTGGCGGCTTTCCGTGCTTTCCTGAAGACGGAGTTCAGCGAGGAGAACCTGGAGTTCTGGCTGGCCTGCGAGGATTTCAAGAAGACGCGCTCGGCGGCCAAGCTGGCCTCCAAGGCCCAGCGCATCTTCGAGGAGTTCATCGACGTGCAGGCCCCGCGGGAGGTGGGTACCGGGTGCCACAGCAGGGCTGGCACCCCCAGCCGGGCGCTCGCCCTCTCTCCCTTCCCTCTCAGACTCATCCCTGACTCATCCCTGATGAGGGAAACTGCTGTGATGGTACTGAATTACTCACAGCCAGGGAGTTCACTGGCAACCTCAGCCCACATCTCCTAACCTCACTGAGCTCCCCAGCAGCATTTCACAGTGCTGCTGATATTTACTGTCAGCCTCGAGCAGGCTGCTGGGCTCTGCCCTGGCAGGACACTTGGCACTGGACCATCCCACCCAGGAGTGGAACACAAGCCCAGAGGGAGCTGGGTGTATTTATGCTGGAGAAAATTTGACTCAGGGTGATCTTATCACCTTCTACAACTCCCTGAAAGGTGCCTGTGCTCAGCTGGGGTTGCTCTCTTCCTCCAGGCAGCACTGACACAACCAGAGCACACAGCCTCAAGCTGCACCAAGGGAAATACAGGTTGGATATTAGGAAGAAGTTTTTTACAGAAAGGTGATAAAGTTCTGGAATGGCTGCCCGGGGAGGTGGTGCAGTCACCATCCCTGGGTGTGTTTAACAAAGCCTGGATGTGGCACTGGGGGCCAGGGTTGACTTGAGGGGTTGGGGTTGGGTTGGATTCAATGATCTTGGAGGTCTCTTCCAACCTTGTGATTCTGTGAATTCTGGAGTAACTTGTTGACTCCCAAGGGAAGAGAGTTTCTGACTAACTCCCCCCTCACCCAGTCCTCCCAAGAGATGCAAACAATAACTCTGAGCTGAACAGAAAATGTAGTCACACCCCGAGCCTGGGATTGTTAAATCCTCTTTCAACCACTCCACAGGCTGATGGCACTGCCAGATCCTGCTGATGGCACTGCCAGATCCTACCTGGTGACCACTGGCTTGTGTCACTGCAATCACAACACAGCCAGGGGGGCTCTCACAGCACCCAGCCCCTCCTGTTCCTGCATGGGTGCCTGTCAGGGACCCAAAAAGGGCTCATTTTCCTCCCTCTCCCAGCTAGGAAATCCACTGCAAGACCACTGGGAAGGACCCAGGTTCACACTGAGGTGTGTGGGGGTCTCAACACTCTCCTTGAGCATTTTCTCACTGTTATTCAGGAAGCTGGATGAGATTTTAAGGACTGGAAGGCTGATTAGAAATGGGAATGCAGGTAGGATGGGGTCCTTCCTACAATTTGGTCCTGTGGTGATGTTTCCTTAGCACCGTTACATAATTTTGGCATGCTTAGAATATGAAATTATTAGAGCTAATCCATACTGCTGACATCCATACTGTTGAGGCAGACAGCTTTACTTTCCAGGCTCCTTACAGTTTGGACACTGAATTAATAACAACAAATAACATTTTTTCAGCCATTTTTTCTTCCAGGCAATAACCCTAAAAATGCTGATTACCCTACTAGGGAAGGAGAGCAGGAAAACTCCACTGGCTGGCTTTGCAAACAAATGGCAGTCATAACATTATAGGGTGGTTTATTTTTCCAAGCCTCTCCTCCAGATATTGTAACGTGAAGCTGCTATGGGAAAAAATCAAACAGTTTATTTTAGATCAGCTGAGTTTAGAGACATTTAATAAGAATGTGGTTTAAACCCATTTAAACCCAGTTAAAAGTTTATTCACCCATTTATTAGGCATGTGGTGAAGAAGAGAGGGAGTAGGAGAGAGGTTAGGCTGACTCAGCAGCTTTAGGTGATGTGCTGCCTAAGAGTCTGAATAAAAGTAATTTAAAAAGCAATTTCAGTAAAAGTAAAGTGATTTCAGAATATATATATATATAAAAATCTATAAATCCAACTTTTCCAGGCTTGGGGCAGGATTCCCAGCCCTGAATCACTAAACCCCCCAGATCTCTGGGGCTGGACAGGGTAGGACCTTGGTTCTGCTGCAGTTCCACAGCCATGGCAGAGAGGGAATTTTGCCATTTGAAGGAGGCCAGCTGGACACTCAGTGCCAATCTCTCTTCTGCTGCTTTCCCCAGGTGAACATAGACTTCCAGACACGGGAGCTGACCAGAAGAAATGTGCAGGAGCCCTCCCTGTCTTGCTTTGACCAAGCTCAGGGGAAGGTGCACAGCCTGATGGAGAAAGACTCGTACCCCAGGTTCCTGAGATCCAAAATTTACACAGACCTGCTGTCTCAGACCCAGAGGAGGCTCAGCTAGGACAGCCACGGGGCTCTCAGAAACCACGTGCTTCCCACAACAGCCAAACCCCATGTTTAAATGTGAAACTTTCTCGGTGTTAAAAGCAGTGGGAATGGGAAAAGAGGGAGAAGGGGCAGAGGAAGCTTCCAGAGAGTGATCCAGGCGTGGTATTAAGACTCTTTGACTATCTGTGCTTTTTTTTTTGTTTTTGTTTTTGTTTTTTTTGTTTTTTTTTTTTTTTGTTAGCAGTAGCACCTTGCAGTCGTTCCCTCTGTCTAGCACAAACCCACAACCCTCTGGAGTCAGGGGGTCACCTGTGGGCAAGGCAGGTTCCCTTTAAAATGGCTGGGCTGGTTTGTGTGTAAATAACACCCCTCCATCCTTCCACCCATCTCGCTGTCTCTCACCTCTCCCTTGTGCTCAGGAGAGCCCCAAGGGCAGTGAGGCCACATCCAGGCCACCTCTCACACTGCTGGGGTCCGGACCAGACACTGAGGGGAGGCAGAGAGCAGACAAAGGCACAGGGTTCATTCCCTTTCTTGAAGTGGAAACCATCAGCAAACTCAGCTCACCTCCCCATTTATTCTGTACCCCTTATGGCTTGGCTGCCACCCTGCCACTGCCCCCTTTCCTTCAGGGATGGAGGCTCAGAGTATTCTCCAGGAGCTGAGCTTTCCTCATGAGGAAGGTAATCCCAAAAGCTCTCACTAGGCCTGGGCAGGCAAGTCTTCTAATGTGAATGATTGTTTTTCGTGGCTGTTATTTATTTGTGTGGTAGCTCAGTCTCAGCCATTATTCAGGCTTTGTTGTGCTGGGCACTGGACCAAAGCCTAGCACAAAGGGGCTCCAGGCTGCCACAGGCTTGGTGGCTCCTCAGGAAGGACCTGTTGGGAGAGAGTGGAGAGAGGGAATGTCCCTTCTGGCCCTTGCTGAGGTGTAGGAAAAGCACAAGGCCCATCTGCCACAGCAGATGGCATTTTTCATGGGGTACCTGGCCAGCACGTGGCAAGGTGACAAATCCCATTTCTATTTTTGTTATTTCCCTTTTACTGACTGTTCCCACTCACCGAGTGTCCACTGTGGGTTCAGTGCCCTGCAAAGAGTTCCCCAAGACATAGTAATAATTCCTTCCATCTGATGGCCCCATTTCCACGGCACTGCTGCTCCAGCTTGGCAGATTCTTGCAATATTTTTGAGGGGAGAAGCAGACAGCCTGTCTGTGGATTTGAGCCGGCAGACCAGAGGTCTCTTTTCTTAATTTAATGAAGGCCTGGAAAGTGAACCCATGGATCTTTTTCTTGTCTCAGTCATCCCCAGACCAGAAGCTGTAAACCTCTGCTCCAGCCGAGGGTGGTGGGTGTCTTTGATACATCAGAAAACTGCCGATGGAGACTTTGTGTAATGTGGTGTATGAGGAAGAACAAAGTCTAAAGCCAAGCAAAATGTTTTTGGAACAAGATAAAAAAAAAGTCTGGTTCGATATTAAAAATTACTGTCCGTCAATTAAGTAGGAAACAGCTTTTTGAAAGGATGATATGTAGGACAGTAGGACAAATAGGATCAAGACAGAGGTGGTAACCATGCTGGATTTATTTTGGAGGTGTATTCCTGTGGTCTCCAGGACACTGAAGTCTAAATTGCAATTGCAAACTTTATGTTCAGTAGGGAAACCTGCTTTTCAGTGCCTGGTTGGCCAGCAGCAAAATCCTCCAGGTCTTTGGAAGGCAAATCCCATCTCCAGTTAAATTTCCCCGAGGAAAGGCCAGAAAGAGCAGCACTGACCCAGTGTTCTGGCTGTCCCCTGCCCCTGCAAGGACACCTGAGCAGCAGGGGCTGGCCTGGGGTGACAGAGGTGACATTCTGCAGCCACACCAGGCTCAGTGACACAGCTCCTGGGACTGCTGAGGCCCCTCATGGGACACAAGAGACACAAAGCTCAGGGTCTGGATGTGAGACTGTTGGACACAAACTTTTTGCTGCTTGCTCAAAAAGGGGGAGCAGTGAGGGGCATCTGGAAAATGCTCCAGATTTGCCATGATTTCCCCAAGGGGACCAGATCACGCAGGAGCTCAGTGTCCCAAAGCTTTGTGGCAAGCAAGGCACAGTGAGAGAGGTCTGGTGAACCTGTGCAAGGCATGGAAGGAATCCGAGGTGGAAGCAAAGGACACAGAGCCACACGCCCAGTGGCTGTGCCTGGTGCTGCCTGGGCTGTAGGAAGGTGTCTTGGTTTGAAAAGACAAGTGTCTGTTAAGGAAGGCAGGAACCTCCCTTGAAATGGAAAATGTAAACCCCCTCCCTCTGAATTATTGTAATTTTGAAATGAAGGGGCTCTCAGGCAAAGATATGGGAATAGGAATAACAGTTCTTTATTAGGAAAAATAAAAATAGAAATGCAATAGTACAAACAAACAAAAACAACCACTGCCAGAGTCAGAGTATCCCAGACACATCATCCAAGACAGAAGGAGTCATATCACCCCCACAGCCCCTGCCTGGGGTAGGGAGCAAGAAGGACAAACCCTGCAGTGACACACTCAGGGCCTGACCTGCAAGGGAGGATGGAAATCTTCCCTCTCTGGCTGTGAGCAGAGGCTGGAGGAATTCCCCTTTCCCAGAAATGCTGTCTGCCACCCCTGTGAAACACAGGACAGACTGGGATCCCCAGGGACACGGGCTCCTTTTGCAGTTTCCTCTCCCATCTGGGTCACCAAAAACTGATGGGGAGTGGCTGCCTAGAACAGAAGCTGGACAGAGTTAAGAGGATAAAGTGGGTATTTATTAAAGGCATTCAATAGGCACAGCTTGGGCAGTCAGAGCCTCCCAGAGGCTACACCCAAGATGGACAATGGTCATGAATTTTTCAGACAATTATAAGTTTGATCCATTTACATATCAGGGGTTAATCCTCCAATTACAGCTTCAGGTAATGAAATAATTTACCCCCAGTTTGCTCCCCACCCCCAATTCACTTTTGTTTATCCTTTTTGGGCCCTGAGGCTGTAAGGTGGTTTTGGATCACAGGCCCAGAGGGATTGTTTTGTCTGACCAAAATGTGGAGAGAATTAACTGCACTTTATATGGAGTTTAGAGCTATGCACTAATACAGTGTAGGACTTGAAAAATCCAAAAGCTAAAATCTTAAGGCATCAGCCTGTGGTCCCAGTTTTACTCCCTGCTGCCAAAGAGCAGCTCAGCTTCCTAGCACTGTGGCATCAAACAAATGCTGCCAGTGGTGAACGAGGCCACCTTGTCTGGCCCTGCCTTCCTCCTTTCCACCCTCCTCTTGCCTGTACATACAAAAAAAGCCTCCCAGAGCTGCCAGGATGTGAGAGCCAGCAGAAGGAGGGTGAAGCAATCACAGAGAGAAGGCAGAAAGCCATGACAACTCTCCAGACACACCTGAGTGGGCTTGGCTGGGCTCTAGTGCCAGCTGAGGCACCCCGGACAAGGCTCTGCAGCACCCTGGGGAGGGTCACAGAGACAGCCAGGCCAGGGGACACAGCAGGAACCAGAGGCTTGTGTCCAGGAGTGTGAGTGGGGACAATCCCCAGGCTCCCCTGGTGTCCAGAGTGTGACTCCCTGCTCCTGTCCAGCGTGTGACTCCATCTCTCCACGAGATGCTCCAGCAGTGTTGGTGCTGGAAGTCCTTTCATTTCACATCAGAGCTCATGGGAAAACTTCAAAGTGGCCAACACCCTGCAAATCCAAGCTCCCTTCTCTCCTCCATCCACCTGGGGAATTGCTTGGAGCAGGGCACACCTGCAGATGTCATTGCTGCAGTGTGACAGGAGCTGGAATCAGGCTGGCTGATGTAGGAGAGGTGTTTTCCCCAGCAAACTGAGCCCCAGTAAATTGTTCCCTCCACTGGGAACAGCATCCTAGAACACAGAATGGAGCAAAAGTATTGTCTGGGGCATTTGAGTCTACCACTCCTTGTTTGTGTTGCTGCTCTTGCAGTTTGTCTCTCTGGAAGGAAAGCAGACTAGTTATTTAAAGTAAAATTCTATTTTTCTTAAACAAGAAAATGGCACCAGCTGCTTCTTTTATGACAAATGCTCTGAATTGAATCAAAATAAGCAGCTTGTAGTTCTACCCCTCAAACCAGGGGCTGATCAAGGAAATAAAGACTGAGCCAAAGCTTTGGAAAGAGCTGAGTGGTGACTAATTCCCACCAAGGGCAAATATCCTATCCTTGATTCATCTCTTCCTGGTGTGAAAGGAATACTCACAACCTACAAACCCATTTCCCTCTCCACAAGCACACACCTCCAAAATTTTCCTCCTGTTTGGAGCAACGTTAAAATGTGCCATCACATGAAGAGGGGGGAAAAAATTGGTTCACTCAGTTCTTTTTATTCTGTTTGCTGGCTCATACCCAGTCAGCTCCCAGGTAGATTGATGGCAGAAGGGAAAAAGAGTTTACAAATTTCCTTTTCTATGAGCTTCAGGTGGTTATGTTAACTCCAGGGTCAGATGCAGAACTCTAATCTGTCCAAAGTTTCTCCTGCTTTGGTCCACCAGCCAGGCTTGGGATGATTTCCACCACTTTTAGTGGACTCATTGATGCACCAAGGGGTCCCTGCTGCCCGTGCTGGGGAGGTGTGAAGGGCAAAGGGAGGGGGAAATTGCTGTGTGTGTCTGGGGGTGTGGGTGGATGAGAGTGCATGTGACTTCATCTGTATCTTATTTAGTGTCCTCTACTACAGAAGCTTTTCTGAGACATAGATGTGCATGTTAAAATAGGAGAATTAGGCACAAATGACATAAACTGAGATCTTTAGCCAGTGTTGTGTTTGCCTCATGTGTAAGTCCAAGTAGTAGTAAGAGATGTAAAACTCTGCTAGGTTTCCAGTTACCCCTAAGAGCACATGTATCAAACTGAACTGAATGTTCACTGATAGACACAAAACCAAAATGTTTACAGCATTCAGAGCAATAGCAAAGCATACCTCATGCCAGTCCTGAGTGCCTCTCACCTGTCAGTGCAAGCTCTCCCCTCCCTGGGGGCCTCTGGCTTCTCCCTCCAAACTCCTCTCTCCTTCTCTGTCCTGTCCTGGTTGTCTTCCCTCCTCCTCCTTGAAGCACTCCAAACCTTCCTGTCCACCAGCACTGTTTGTCCTCATCTGTCTGAGCCTGGGATTCCCCTAACCTTCCCCTGCTTGCCTCTCCTCATCCCTATTCATCCCTCCTGTCCTCTTTGCCTTTCCTTTCCCCAGGCACTCATCTCTGGTCATGCCATCTCCCTCCTACACTCCTCCTACTGCCACTGTAAAGCTCCTAGGAGCTCTTCCCTGCCCGTTATATAAGAACAAAACGTTTCACATCATTTCTGCATTATCTTTCATCCCTGGGGCTGCTGCAGTTGTCTCTTTCCTTGGTGCTGTGCTCTCTCTGGCATCGTAGCATTATATCCCAGAACTGGAATTAAAGTTCATTTTGCTGCTAGACCAGAATGCTTCTGTCTACCACGCACCCCTTGGGCTTTGCAGAGGCTCATCTTGTCCCCAAGTCTTTTGTCTTCCTTCTTTTTCTCCTTCTTCCATGCAGGCTGCACATGCAGTGCTTGTGGCAGGGGCTGGCTGGGGTAGAGGGTGTCCGTGCTGGGGTCACTCACAGCTGGGCACCCCCGTGGCTCCCTGCTTTATAAAAGTAGTCTCAATAAAGGTGTGTGGGTTGCATTTGCTCAGCAAAGTCAGTCATTGTGCTCTGTGCCTCCTCCTGGCTTTACAGGAGGACGTGTGTCTAATCTGAGACTGCGGTGAACTCAGCGGGAGTTCAGGGAGCCGAGGCCGTGGGAGGGAGGTGGCAGAGGGGGATGAGCTTGTTACCAAAAACATCCAACATTCCTGGCAAAAAGGCACAGGAGAAAAGGCAGTGCCTGCTTCTGGAGGGGCCAGGGAGCTCTGGGGACCAGCTGTGCTGTGAATTGTTTGTCTCAAGCAGCCCCACACCTCCCAGTCTGCCTCACGTGCTGCGTGCCCCGGGCTGGCTCTGAAACATGACGGATGAGGAGCTGCTCAGCTTTGCATTTGCAGTGTAGGTAACAGCGTTATCCCCAGAGAAATGTCTTCATGTTGCTCTATCAGTGCCTGCAGCCACCAGCTGAAAAGCAGAGAGGGGAAGGAGGCACCTTCTGCTGTGTTTCCTCCTGCAGACCTCTGTAGGACTCCTGGCAGCGAAGAGAGCAGGGTACGAGCACACCCTGGGGTAGATCCCCCTCCTTTAAGAGCCACGACTGAAGATCTCATCTTCTCATAACCTCTCCCCCCAGCTCCTCTGTGAGTAACCCAAACCAGAGCTCAGATTTGTCCTTAAGCTCCTTGGCACCTCCACTTTGCTGGGATGGCAGTGTCCCCTTGAGGACCTGACTACAAACCCACACGCCCAGCAAGGCTGCTTGAAATAACAAAGATATCTGGTTCCTCTGCAAATCAGCTCGTGGGTGGCTCAGGAGAGACTGAGGATGGCTCTGCTGCACGCAGTGAACTCAGAAGTGAGCCACCAGGCAGAAAGAACAGCTCCAAAGTGCTTCCCTGGGCAACGCTTTTATTTCCAGGAGATCCCGCTGCCGCAGCTGCCGCCCCTGCCGTGCCCAGGTGCTGCTGGTGTTGGGGCAGGCCTGGCAGGCTGTTCAGTCTGATCCTTTCCCTCTCAAGGAAAGGCATGGGCTCGGCTCCCCGGGCTCCCCTGCATTAGCTGCTTGTTTGCTAGGCTCCCCTTCTTCCCTGAGAAGCCACGCCGCAAATCCCGCACCGAGCCGCGTCACCACGCTGTGCAGTGTCACACCCGTGCTGTATAGACACCCTGAGGACGTAATAAACAGCCTGAGACTATTTGTTCTCTGCCTGAGTGTCTGAGAAGCTGCAGCCCTGGGCATGGAGGGGTGTCTCCCAGCCAAATTGCTGAGGAGGAACAGGAGGGGAGAAGCTGTTTGTCCTCAGCCCCTGGTGCAGACATGCAGAGTGGGGATGGGTTGGCTCCAAGCTGTTGATGGCTCAGTTGGAGCAATTTAGAACCAGGCTCTCCAGAGGTCCAGTTTGGGGGGGTGAGTCCCAAATGAGTCAGTAGGACCTGCAAGGAAGGAGAATCCCAAGAGCCTTCCAGCAGCACACTGCTGTCCTCTGAGTACACCTCCCTGCTGCCTGTGATGGACTCCCAAATCCCAAAACCATCATGGCCAGAGGTGGAAACAAGTGCTGAGCCTGCTTCCTGCACCAGGAACAGCGGGGGACACAGAAGCTCCTGGGAAAGAGAGCAGTGTGGATGGATCGAGCACGATGAGGTCATGAAGAGCAAACAGCAAATAAGAG